CACCGAACGAAAGATAGATCTAACATTATCCAGATTGACACCAGCAAACGAGCCACTGAAATCCGCAGGAATTGCACGAAGGGAGTCATCCATGGCGGTTTTGATGCGAGTAAAATCAGCAGTCTCGAGAGCAAATGGGTACGTGTCTTCGTTACCATCAAACTTGAACCGAGTGTTGAGCTTTGGTGAAAGCATGTCGAAGCAAAGCTTGCTGACATTCGAAAACATATGTAGCTCGTCACACATGAAAAAGTCGATGGAGGGGAAGGTACTCAAATGACCAAAGGGAGAAGCACGTTTAATACCATAGTTGTGGTTGGGGCAAGAAGGCTAATAAAGGTAAATCAATTAAGATATGTAAAAAAGGCTACACAAGTTAGCACTTACTGCGTCTTTCTCAAGTAATAAAGAAGCTTTGGTTCTGATAGCCGAGTCTCTGCCAAAGAAGTACATACCACCTTTTCCTCCGTCAACTGGGTGACCGCCTTTAACTAAATTTAGAAGGGTCATTTTGTTAGTGTCCACGGTTATAGCTTAGTAAACTGACGACTTACCAATACAAAATCTACATCCCCACCAGTTGGTATGACCACTAAACATCAACAACCGCTGGTTGATCTCTATACCATCTGCAATGACACCCAAATTGAAATTCTAGCCGACGTGACATGAACACCATTCTTGCGAACAAAAACAGGTTCACGACTCAAACGATCAAGGCTTTCAATAATTGGACGCAGATACGAGTCAAAGTCTTTCTTAGTGTCACCAAAAAGAATTGCAACTTGAAAAGTATATTCATCGTTGTATCTGGGAATGGCGTTATTACGACGTAAAAAGATTGGATGTATTGTATATAGAGCTAAAATTTACCTGATAGACGGATCAATGCTAGCAATTATAACGTGTACCATCACCATACTTTTTTTTGATACCTTCGAAGTGAACCCATCAACACAAAGAACGATGGCTAAATCGTGCTGACCAGCGAAGAGACCTTTAGATTTCATTTCTTTGTACGCGGCTCCAGAAACAAAATCGGTATATAGATCATCGTCTTTCATGGAATCGATTACGTTTCGGTATTTTTCGACTTCATCACGAAACTCGTCACAAGCTAGCATACGACTTAAATGTTCACCAATATCAATCATTTTTACCACAGATTCTTTATGTCTAACAGCGTTACAGTGAGGACAAGCGGTTCTATCGGCATCATCGACAGGATCAAAGAGATAACACCCCTTTCGGGAACAGATTTCATGGCTTTGACTGAAAGAAAGTGGAAGTTTCTTCTTGATCAACGAACGATCACTCCTTCAATGCGAGTACTTTTTTCTTTTTATCAAGGCCTAAAAGGTAAACTAAATTAGTAAATAATGATACTTTGTAAATACAAATCATTAACATACTGTTGTTTTGGTTCAAAGTGTTCTCAAAAATTTCTTCATAACGCGCACAGCTTCTATGGTCATGTTTCTACTAAATGTAAGATAGTTGAACATAATACTACTCAGCTCGCTGGTGCTAAATACGTTAATGGGGACAATGATATCCTTGATGTTGTCCTGTATTGTTACATTATGATCAAGTGACAATGGTTCTAAAAGTGAAAATAATACATCCGGTAAGTTGTCATGATGTCAACAACTCGAGCATCCTTAGTTACCTTCGAAGTTCTCTTCGTCCGTGGATTCATACAAATCCTCGTCTACTTCACCGTCTACAACAAAGCCATCATCAGAGGATTCATCTTCAGCATCTACGTCTTGTATGGACATTTGTCCAATTAAGGGAAGAGCGATTTGGTTATCGAGGTCAGCCATATCAACATCATCGTAAAAATCCATTTCTTCGTCATAGTCAAAAGGTGTACGGTTGGTTATTATAGCAGTTGGGAAGCCAGTAGATACTGAAGAGGATACAGCAAAAACAGAAGTGTCAGTTGGGCCAGGTACAATGGAGGCAGCAGTAACGGCCAAGGGTTCATATGTGCCTCTTAAAAGACGTTGGTTAGCGCCGTTTCGAGAAGCTCTAAGGTTCTTGGGTTTTTGAATTTTGGGGTAAACCATTTTGAAAGTTTTTTAAAATTTCGTTTTTGGTAAGTTGGGAACCGATTTTTGCGTGTAGTTTTATACATGTTGCTACATCTTATTTACAGCTTATTAATAGTCACTGACCGTTCTTAGAACCAATTGGAATTACTCGTGAAGTTATCTTATAATTATTAATAGAGAGGATATAGTAATTCTGTGTAGACTATGGATACCTTTCAAAACCACTAGAAATCGTTGTTTGGGGACTTCAAGCTTGATCTATTGTTAGATTTTCGTGTAACGAGGTTATTAAGCGAAATTTTTTTTAATTCTGTACCGTGATTGGTGCAAATAAGTTGAACCACTTACATCAAGGTAAATGACAATGAAAAAAAAAATGTATCTTTAAAACATCTATATAAGATCCAATACTTACACCTATTTTCTCATTTACATCGATTTTTCACTCTATTTATCACAATGAACGGTACCCAAAACTCAAATTCTCGAGACGAAGTCATTGAAAAACTCGTTAATGCCATTTACGATATGCAAAGAAAGCTTGATGCGATGCCTGCCACAATGAAAGAATATATCTACCTGCCAGTTGGTCAACACTGTGAATGCTGCAGCAAGGTTAAGAAAGTGGTCAAATCCAATGGTACTTCTGCAATTACTTCTCGATCTGGATATATCACTGGTACGTTTTTATTTTATTTTACTTTGTAAGACGAATTAAGTTAATAATTGCCCTATCTTTTCAGCAAGAAATTCCGCTGCTCAACAAATGTACGAAACCGTGGTCAAGGCTGTCGCCTATTACAAGGAGCATGTTATACCCAATGGTATTCACACCTCTTGCAATTCTCTCGGTGTAAGATCCATCACCGTATGTACTTATACAAAGAAAACCGTCATAGACAAGGTTGCTGCGTACTGGAGATCTTTGGTAGGTACCTATACTGAGGATCAAGCTAAAGAAAGGGCGACAGCAGCTTACAACAATGTCTTCACCATTTGCCAACATTTCTTGAAAGCATTGTACCAAGAACGATTTGGAAAGAATGGTGTCATTTGGAGGGGGATTCCTGCCAACGAGCAGAATGAAGTATTGTATATGTTCGAAAGAATTGCATACTTTTGGAACAAGCGCTCTGGCTTGAACGTTGGTACACCCCTCGAGGCATATCCTGGAGACCTTATCTCTGTCATTGACGCCGAGAACCCAATGCTACCCATGCACCTCGCCGATAAAAACTGGATATCCAAAAATATGATCCAGATAATGTTGAGGAACTCAGCAAGAGTAAGTAAAGTTTAGATATCAAATTAAGAATTTTTAACATTAACATAAACCTCAACTCTAGCCAGATGACATTGCTCATGATACCTCGGGTTCATTTTTGACTGGCCTGGAAAACCTTGGTGTCAATTCGGGTACTGAAGAGAGGTACGAAGACTTGGATATGGGCCTGTTTGAAAATTTATTTTCGATCCCTGATAACAGACCTATTGCACCATCGTCTTCTTCCGCTTTGGTACAAAATCCTGTTTTGACCTCTCTTCCTCCCTCTGAGATGCCTCCTCTCTCTGACTCGCCTCCTCCTCCCACCTCTGACTCTCCTCCTCCCACCTCTGCACCTGCCCTCTCCACCCCAAGTACTACCCGTCCAAAAGGTAAAAGAAAGGCTGATGAAATAGCATCTGGGACCAATAGTCGACCCTCAAGGGCTTTCCAAAAATAGAATTGAGCCTGAATTTTTTTTTTTTTCTTATTTAAACTCTGATTTTTTTATTATTTTTTTCTTTTTTCTTTCTATTTCTTTCAAATAAAAACTCAACTTAAGGTTTGTATATGTGTATAGTTTGTGAATATATGATTTATCATAACCATTTGTTTACAAATGAAGATATAGTTATGTGACTAAACATTAAACGTGCTGACACTCTCCAAACGGATTAAACCAAGACTCTTTGCTTTAAAAGTAAATTTACTTACTCTTTTTATATGTATTAACACATTTGTATAGCTGAAGCCATCTCTACTTTCACCGCTTGTGAAAAGGTAAATATCTCGACTTTGGTTTATGTGTTTATTATTAGTTAACCCAAATTCCTAAAGCTAGCTACCATCGCTGTTTATTTGAGGCTCGTACATCCCACGGTTTTGTAAAGGTACACATTGCTAAACTTGATAATTTATTCTCTTATTAACGTAAACCATCTTTATGCAGGTAAGTGAATACTGCTGCTCTTCCGAGGTCTTCGTATGGTCACTATCGTAGTTCCTCTCATTATGTCTGTCTCTGGTCATATTTTACTGGTCATTTTCTATATTTGAAGAGGTCTATCATGATCAGACTCGACGTTATTTAGTTTTTTTTTATAAATAAATTTTTTTTTTTCCAATATATACAAACGTATCAATTTTAAGCCTGTATCCTGATTTAGCAGGGGTGTAAAAGTAATATTATATCGGTTATCGATTACCCCATTTTTTTTACCCCATCCAACGATATTTTTTTGTTTTTTTGATTTATGGATCGATATCGTCAATCGCGATATTTTGGAAAGTTTGATCGATATTGCCAATAACGATATTTTAGAAAGTTTGATCGATATTGCCAATCGCGATATTTTGGAAAATTTGATCGATATTGCCAATCGCGATATTTTGGAAAAATTTATCGATATCGCCAATCGCGATATTTTTAAAAAAAAGATCGTTATTTCCGCTCTAATTTGTTTGCGATATTTTTCAATTTTTGATCGCTGATTTATTTTAGGGTGACTACTAGGTGATGAAGATTGTGTAGTCCGACTGGATTCAGAAGTATCCGAAGCTATGATAACCGTTTTCGGTGTAACATTGGGTTCCTGTTCCTGAGAAGAGACATCATACCTCTCATTAATTTCACGAGATGTGGTAGATTCTCCATTACCTTGTGATGATAAATTATCATACTGATCTCTCTCTTCGTCACTACTCTCAACATTTTCAGTTTCTATGCTGTCTTGGGTGCTATCTAGTCTATCTTCATCTTCATTTTCTGTGTGTGAAACCATATCAGATTTACTTTCGATTTCGTCGTTATCAGAATGAAGAAAGTTTTGGTTATGTTGCATGTTAGCATCTTCAGGAATTTCTGTGTCACTTTCCTGATCTAAAAATAGTACCAGGTCAGAAAAAGTGGGATTAAAATGTACGATTCCAAGTTATAGACAATAATCTTTTATCAATATACCTTCTGTTGCATGAAATTCGGGAGGTCCAAATGTTTGATTAAGAGAGAGACTGACCATATAGTACCCATTTTTTATGCCTTCTTCAAAATGATTTGGAGATACGTCAGGATGCACCATTCTTTTCATGTGTTCAGGAATTAAAGGAACACAAGGCAAAATAAATGCGGATAAGCATTTGAGATGAAATTTTTCTTCAAAAATGGTTCCCAAAAACGAAGTGCCAAGCGCTTGTTGTTCCATTTCACCATTTACCACCATCATCAAAGGCTCTTTTTTACATAAAAATGCTTCAATGTCAGCTCCTGGAAAAAACTCTTGTACACATTTTTCAAGTAAGACTATTGTAGTGATGACTTTGACGCTGAATTTACTTTTTTTTTGTATTGGGCTTTTAGCGGCATATTTAAAGTTGTAGGTTTAAAATATACTTACGCAGAGGAGGCTTCGTACAATTGAATAAACACCTCGTCGTTATCTTCGTCACATACTACAGTGTGTGGAAAACAGACTCCAAAAAATGTGGAAACGATGGACTGAACCATATATGCTATAATAAAATATAATAAAAAAAAATTAGGCAAAAGCAAGTAAAAGTATGATCTGATACTTTTATAATAATATTAGTCAAATTGGATCCACCAATAAATTTGAACCTGCCTAAAGAGTATCAACTAAATACATCTTAACTTAGACAGAAATTTATTTCCACATGATGGTATATAACAACTGCAAAAGTACGGTAACTTACTAGAAGAATATAACTATGGGACGTCATACTGCCAAAAATTACAAATAAATTCAAAAACCATTTCTCGGGTTGAGTATTCTTCAAACAGAACTTTGGGAGTACAAATTGTTTTTTTTTTTGATGTTGTACGAAGTCAACATACCTTTATTTTTTATTTCTTTGATCTCCCAGTTATTTTTTCTCATTTATTAAAGTTATATGTCACAATTAATATAGTTTGACGACGCAATTGATGAAAACTCCTCTATCAACTACAAATACGCACATAAATGATGAAATATTTCTTTAACCTATTTTTCGGCAATCTTCCACATTTGTAAACAGAGGTCAAAATGGCGAGACATTTTTAGTATTTTTAAAATGATGACAGAATGTGATCATTACGATTATATCAGGACTGATTCTTTTCAGTGTAATTTGCATTTGGAGTTAATTTGATTAGTCACGCTTTACCACAATATAAATTGAATAACCAATGTTAGCAGATGTCAATATTATCATTTGTCTACCTTATTAAAGACTGGTATTATTTGTAATCAATGTTATTAAAGGTCAATGTTTTTAATATTACTATTCTAACAAGACATTTCATCAGAAGCCAATATTTTGAGGGCTTAATTAATGTTTTCAGTGGCCAATGCAAAAAGAGAAAACCTTTTCTTAGACAGACCCATAAGAAATAACATCGCTTTGTAAACTTAAGACCAGTTAAAGAGTTATACTGTTGGGTCCCTAATTTAACCAATAATATGTATTTAACTTGTGTTAATAGTATACGTACGTATAGTTTTGAGTCACAAAAAGGCTGTACGTTTTTACAATCTATTCAGAGAAGGTAATACTTATTTTATTCTACTTCAAGTCGCACTATTAACTTTATGTTTATGAATGTGCAACAATTTATACTACATAAGAGGTGGCATTGTTAACACGTGACGAATTGAATTAAAAAGAATACTTCGTCCACAGCCCAAAAAATGTAATCTGGATAACTCGAGTCAAAAAATATAAACATACGTTCATTAAAACTTTAATTTAGATACAAAATTCAAAATCTTCCAACATATTAGTACCAATGCTTAAGTTTCTTTCGACACATATGCCTTGCAACAATGTAAGCTCATAGCTCAGAATGTAACTTTGAAAGTAATCAAGAGCTAAAAAAAATCTGCCATACAGCTTAGGCTTGACGTGTTCTTACAAGCTGTAGTAACTTATAATAGTTATTGTGGTAACAAATTAAGATAATGGATGCAGTGTACAAATAATTAACACCTTCGTAGATTGCTCCTAGAAACTATTTTCTAGGACATTTAGCGTAATTAAACACACAAATAATATATAATGTTGACACTCATTCAAACAACTGGTGTTTTGAAAGTTATTCTGTTATTAACTGGAAATAAATGAAGAGTATTTGAATTGCGCGTTGGGCATAGCATTGATTTTATTTTATAAACCAATGTTTGTCTTCTTTTTTTTTTCTTTTTTTTTTGTTTGCCACCCGAGGTATTTGATTGAGTTCTTAAAATGAAGCATTTTCTGATGGTTGTTTTTGTCTGCTATATTTATAAAAGCTTATTCTGTTAGTGATCATGGAAGACAATCATTATCTGCTGCTCTATTGAGTTTGTCTTTTTATAATTTGTAAAGTGGATTCGCCTTAACAGGCGCACTTTTCCAAATGTATGGCGCTTTCATAAAATCTTATGTTTATTTTAAAAATAATGCAGCAGGTGCGCCAAATGCAGTTACACATTTTAATATATATATATACATAATGCGATCAGATTTTATGTTTTTAAAAATGTAAAACCGCGAACACAGAACACATATCTGATTGCTTAATATTGGTATAAGTAGTTCGCACTTTAGTCGAAAATATTGCTCAAATTAGAGTTTCCGGAACAAAAATAGTTCAAATAGCTGGAAATACAGTATATTTTTTATGATACGTTTCTTTCCTTTTTTTTTTTCATAATAGTCACTTCAGCTGTAAATACAGCAATAAACTGAAACATTCAATCAAACAACCGGCACAAAAAATATTGTCACACCAACATTTTTATAATGTGCAAATAATTTACAGTACATTTTTTCCTTATTTTTCGCTTTTACAACTTACTGCTCGGGACGTATTTTTATAACCTCCTCAACAGATGTCAAAAAAACCAAAAAAAAAAAAAAAAAAAAAGAAGTCCGGATACCAGTGATTTATAACGTGTCTAATATTTTTTATCAATGTGAAAATTATTCGATACACAAATTTCCATATATGTCGATTTAACGAGTACATTTTTGATCGTTGTATTGAGCTGAAACTTTGTATATATCCTTCTTACAACATCAACAATATGAGGTTAAAGTTTCAAATTATTTGAGTAAAAACTCTGAGATACATAGCGAAATATCGAAATCTACTCGCTGTATATAGAAGGTATACAGATAACCATATATGTCGAGTAAAATTTGACCCCCTGAAATTAAGCTCATATTAAGTACCGTTGCGTATCATGATGTTAACATATTGTGGTTTCAATTTCAGTTGATTTATATAAGAATTGATTGTTTTATTTCAATTTTTTGTTTTTTTATAAAAATTGCTCGACATAGATGGAAGGTATACAATGCCCAAATATGTTTTGTATCCCCCCAGAAGGTATCACAACTCTAAATAAGGCGATTTTCCAAGCAGGGAGGCTGACCACAACTTATTAAATGTTAAATGATCATTTGGTAGTAATTATAAACCTTATTATCTTTTGTTTCGCTCCTGGTACTTCACCGTCAATCCACTAGATTTTCATTATATTTTAATTATGTCTAATAATGATACTTCATTATCTACCAATATCCGAATCGACAAATTGACTCGACAATTGGCAGAGATTCGACTATTATTGCAGCAACAATCAGCTTCAACCCGTTCCTCATAGATGGAAGCAGAGATGGATGTGGTCCCTCAGGTAGTTGAACGACCTGAGGCTACAGATCTCATCCCCACTGAGCGATTGCAACAAGCTCTACCGGGAATGTGCGAGGACTTCTTCCGATCCCCATTGGATGAACTCGATCGCAAACGATACATTCATGTTTGCCCTCGCAACGTCATTAAACAGTATCTTCCACCTACTCTTAATCTTGCAGATAATGTTGGGCGTTTTACAAAAAAAACCGACAATCAGCTTTCTGAGATTCAGCAACGTTTGGCAGCAACCACTCGTACTATGGACAATTTTTTGCATGAGAGCCTTCGCTCAAATGCCATATCTGTACCGGTTGCCGATGTCGTTCTTTTTATCAACACCATTCACACGTTGGTGTCTGACTCAGCATCGTGCATGACCCAGCTTCGAATGGATAATGTTGCTCGTGAAACAGGTCTGGTATCACCGCCTCTTCAACCTCGTACCAAGCTTACACCTTCACCTCAACCACTGTTTCAAGACACTAAAGCAATTCATGAAAGTACAAATCTTCGAAAGGTAGTTCAAGCAGCTAGTCGTAAACCACAACATAAAGACCATGGACGTCAAAAATCCACATCTGCCAACTCTAGACCAACACAAGGCTCTTCAGAACGTGAATCAGATGGTGCTCCTCCAGTGGGACAATCAGCATCACTGGGTAATCGAGCAACAACTCCGCACCCAAGACGCAGTAATTCTTCATCTTCATCCTCCCACGGACGAAATTTTCAGGGACGCCCCCAGACTCCCAACCAACAATAGTAGGAGGCAGGTTATCTTCCTTTTCTCTCGCTTGGTCAAAACTCTCTTCCGAAAAATGGGTCAACAGCGTAATAAAGAACGGATATCGAATCCCCTTTATAACCTCACCCCCCATATCAACAACGTACGACTCGAAACATCAACGCCATCAATTTTCCAACCTGTCTATCACTCAACGAATAACTGCTGATGCGGAAGTTCGGGCCCTATTAGTGAAGAGAGCAATAGAAGAAGTACAGATCACAAACCAAAGCGATCAGTACCGTTTTTATTCGACGCTATTCACTATTCCAAAGAAGACATGCGGGGATCGACCGGTTTTGTATCTCAAACCACTAAATCAATACTTACCTCGTATTCCATTCAAAATGGAAACTATAAAAACGATTTGTCAATTGATACGACGGAACAACTACATGACCAGTATAGATCTGACGGATGCATTTCTGCACGGGCTAGTTGACGAATCGTCCAAGAAATATCTGGGCTTTCAATGGAACAACAACATGTGGTGTTTGGGATAGTATAAATTCAGACAAAAAAAAATAAAACAAAAGTAGGAATACTTTGAGACTGTTCGTATGCTATATTTCAGTTAAAAGAGAATTAGAGATTATCTTGTTTATGAGTCGAGGATATACATATAAGATGTCTGAATTTAAAATATAAAATTATTGCATAATGGAATTGTACTAAATTAGTGCAGTGTCTTCTTACACTATTTTAGTCAAAGAATTACATAGACTAAAGAGGTGTATTTGGTTTATAGAGTGTTGCGGGGATAATAACTTTGATAGTAAATGTAACTGGATTCTTGAATTAAAATTGAAATGATCTTATAACTGTAACAAAAGATGCAAAAGTTTTAATATAAGGAGCAGATGCGTTTTATTATTTAATTTTACCTGTAACAAAAGATGCAAAAGTTTTAATATAAGGAGCAGATAAAAAGGCTCCTTATTGCATCTCTCGTTACGGCTTTTATACAAAATCAATGGTGTAACACCCAAAAAAAAAAAACTAAACCCTGATCCCCATGACATCATCCCACACCTATTCTTTAATCAAACGATTAAAGTACTTCTTCAAGTGTATGCCATTGCATCGATTTTTTGGGGGAGACCGGTCGATTTCTTGATTAACTGATATGTGTTATTCTTGAAAGCAGCAACCACGACAAAGACCTCATCTTCCCAACCAGAGTCCAATTTCGACGACTTGTTGATTCTCCTCTTCAGCACGTGAGTACCCGCTGGAAATACCTCAACGTTTGTGGGCGGTGACGTGGAAGCATTCTCCTTTAAAGCGGTCTCAACTCGTTTAGCAGGCAACAAAAGTAATCTTTCAAAACCCAAGGCTCTTGCAAAATTGATTATGGGGTTTACATCCGCACTGATAGGCACCACACCAAACATTAACTCATATGGCGTTAATTTGATCACCTCGTGTGCTCGTACACGATAGGAGTAAAGTACAGTTGGTATCAGAGCATCCCAAGAGTCTTTCTTCATATACGACATCTTTCTTAGCGAGTTGACTAGCGTTCCATTAAACTTCTCTACCATGCCGTTGCATTGAGGGTGATATGGTGTAGTCAGCAAATGTCTACTATTTACCATGTTCATGAGGTGCTTAACCACATCAGCTCGGAAATGGGATCCATTATCAGTTAAAATTTTGGTGATCGGTCCATAATTACAGAAAACGTTTTCATACAGAAATGTTGCAGCAGTGATAGCATCGGCCCTCTTTGTAGGTATTGCCATTGGCCACCTGGTAAACATTTCGATGCACACCAAAATATAACGACTGCCCGCTTTGGTTACCGGCAAAGGACCCACAAAGTCGATACTAAATTGTTCAAAAATATTCAACACATTGACGCTCTTTCCTTGGAATGGACTTCTACTCAAGGGTGAAGGTGCGAACAGCTGACACTGATGACAAGATCGGACAAACTCTTTTACTTCTTCGTAAACTCCAGGCCACCAATACTTATTGTACATCTTCGCCCAAGTGCTGTGCTGTCCAAAGTGGCCGTGCCCATCATGTACCTCTTTCAGAACTTGAGGTCTTTCCTGCAAATGAGGAATCTTGACAATACGGGACCCCTTCCCTCCAACCTTACGATACAGGTGTTTATCCTGCAGTACATAAAATTTTGCTTTATCAGCCATCACCTTACTAATTTCTTGCCCAACGTTAGAGAAATAATCAACTAAAACTTGCAATTCGGACTCGTAGTACTTTTGGCCTTCCTTGATATACATGTTAAAAAGCTCTTCCAGCATGTCTTCTCCTCCAAGATCGTCTTCATTGCATGGATAACGACTGAAAAAGTCACTCTTGTTACTGGCAGAGGTAATGTGCTTGATAGAAAAATCATACTCTTGAAGGGCAAGACACCAACGCTGTAGTCTAGTGTTGGGCTCCTTTTTCTCAAACCAGTACTTCACGGCCCTATTGTCTGTCAAAACTTCGAATCGACGATCCAGAATATATTTCCGGAATTTGTACAAGGAGTACGTGAGTGCCAGTAATTCTTTATCAACAATGCTCCAATTAAATTCCACCTTGTTGACCTTCCTGGAAACAAAACAAATGGGTCGTTCCTTTCCGTCTTCTGCTAATTGTACTAAAGCACCCGATATTCCAACATCGCATGCATCACAGTATACGCGGTATTTTAGATCAGGGGCGGGGTAATGTAACTGAGTTGCATTGACCAGGGCGTTTTTTAAACCTTCAAACTCCTGCTGGTGTTCATTAGTCCAGATAAACTCTTGATCTTTCTTTAAAAGGTTGGTCATGTTGATCGTAAACCGGCTGAAGTAATGGATATGTCGCCTATAGAACCCTGCCATATTAACAAAGGCCCGGATGTCAGTTTTGGAGCGGGGAGATGGGATGGTCAAGACCTTATCAATCTTATGTTTTAAAGGTAAAACGCCGTTGGTTGATATTTCAAATCCTAAGAATTCAATCTTATCCTGGAATAAGTTACACTTGTCTGGATTTAACGTCATGTTCACTTCAATCAGCCTATCGAGTACCCGTTCGAAATGGTTCAAATGGTCGTCAAAACTAGTACTAAACACCGTACAATCATCGATATACGCGATGCAAAATTCTGGTATAAATTCTTGTAATGCCAGATGTATAGCGCGACTGAACGTTGATGGGCCGTTAATTACTCCAAAAGGTAAAACACAATAAGAATAGTTGCCATGTTGCGTGGTGATTGTTAATTTAGGGATATCCGCCTCTTCACAAGCAATCTGGTGAAATCCTTTTAGCATATCGAGACCCGAAAAAAACTTAGCACCATGAAAGGATTCAATGACATTAGCGATTACGGGTAGGGGCCAAGGGTCACGAATTGTCACCTTGTTCAGATCCTGGAACATAGTGACTAATCTTTTCGTACCATCCTTTTTTTTGACGTACATGACTTGAAATGCCCAACCTCCGTTACTGGACTCTGCTCTCGAATGCATAGCAGGTATCAAAACCCCACTGGCTACCATGTCAGCAATATCCTTCTTAAGCAATTCCAACTCCGAGTAAGACATTCCCTGAAATGGCCGTTTCATGATAGGCTTGGCATCTCCCGTGTTCACATGGAATTTTACCAAATTAGTTTGCTTTAAATCCTCGTACCCAATTCCAAAGGCATCTTGTTTTTGCAGTAACAATGCAGTCAATCGTGCTCGTTGTTCCGGATCAAGGAGTTTATTTTCACTTACTTGCTGTAGTAACTTCACCATTTTCTCCTTCACTGGCTTGGCTTCACGTATCTCACTTTCCCCATTGTCGATTGACATTGTTACCAGAAAACATTGGTCTTCAGTACTATCCTCCTGAATAGCAGCATACGGATCAGTGTACATAACATTCAACTCGTGAAAGATTTCGCCATCACGTAGGTACCAGTACGATGTTGCAAGGTCTGCCCCAATGCCAAGCTTGGCCATAGCAACACGGCCTAACAAGAACTCATACGAACTACTTGGTAAGTCCAAACACAAAGCGCTAGTCTTAATGGCAAAGCCGGGAAGTACCTCTACAATCAGATCATCGATTATACCTCTGGACTTGACCTTACGCCCATCACCAACCATCATTTGGCCATTAGCGTTTGGCCGCAGTTTCGACTCCAATCCTAAATCTTGTACTACTTTTAAGCTAATAACGCACGGGGTACACCCTGCGTCACAAATCAGGTTCGAAACGCGATCGTTAATTTTGCCTACGATCCGGGGTGCATGGTTTCCAGTGGCTTCGCCAGCATTTTGATCAATTTTTTGGTAAAGTAAATCGTCAATTGAAGGCTTAACCTGTACTTTGTAAATTTCCAACGGTCTTCTAAACTCCGTATGGGCCTTTGAAGATAGTGTCACAATTTCATCAAATGATAGTTCAAAGACCTTTTGGTGTCTCAACGCATCAACAATTATAGCTGTACTAGTCTTGGGTTTTACCGTAATAACATCATTTTCGCGCGTGCCTGCTTCCGCAGTATCTATGATGGCATCGTTGAACCCGTATTCCTCAATGTCAATTCCATCCGTAGTACACGTCTCCGAATAAGTTTGACTTGTAGCTGTTTCAACGATATCTGCAGAATCAGAGGAAGTATCTACCTCCGCAGGACACTCAGAGCTTACTGAAACATCAACATTGTCTCTTGTGTTACTAACATTATCGACTACTCTGTTACGCATTCGTTTCTTGATAATATTATCTCTGGTAATACCCGCGTCATCTCCTGTTCTTTTGATAACCAACAGATCACCATCCAGCTCTTCACACAATTTGTCTTCAATATCAATGAGTAACGTGGGGGTTACATCGGTAGTTCTCGTTGTAGTATCATTATTGCTTTGTGTGTTACCATATCTTGCACCACCTGATCTTGGGGGCTTGACAGGACAGAAAAACCGCTTGTGCTCTGTACTTTGGCAATGTTTACATGGCGCGGGGCAATCACGATCCAAATGCCCAACAATGTTGCAGTTAAAGCAAGCACCCCCATTTCGAAAAGGGACGGGAATATTATTGTTACTAGCTGTATTATTATTATGTTGCATTAACAATAATTTATTGTTCTGTTCTAATACGCACAAAAGTGCAGCTTGGAAGTCAGGTAGCTTTGGTGAAGTAATCTTGGATTTCTTATGCTTATTGGGAGTTTTCTTGCTAGCTGGGCGCTTTGCATCATTATCAGAATCGGAATCGTCATCATCGTTACTATCATCCGTATCATTGTCAGAAGATTCTTCCTCGGACGAATCGTCATCCTCGTATTCTTTGGCAATTTTGTAAGCTTGTTTTAAAGATACTGGCTTTCTTGCGTTCAAGTGACGCCTCATATCAGCAGGTGATGAGTTACGGATGAAGAGGTGTACGTAAAACTTAACATCATGTGAGCTAACCGCTTCAGACGCTTCGCCAGTACCCGCATTAAGATTAATGAAATTTGTCTCTCGGTCGGTCATTGTGTCATCAAACTTGGTGATATATTTTGAAACATTTAGGAACGATTTGCGTTTCACGGCCATAATCTTGTTTAGGAAATAAATGTCATCCCGAATCGGTATGTCTAGTTTATCTCTTAGTTCACTCTTGAAGACGTTCCAATCAGCAAATTTTCTTGAAACAACCGAGTTTAATAGTCTCCCCTTGAAACATTGATGGATTTGTTGCAATTTCTGTTTATCCGTATTCCATTCGTTGAGCTCAGCAGTGGTTTCGAAGATTGCGAAGAATACTTCTAGTTCTTGGTCTTTCGAATACTTGGGTGGTTTATTGAACATTTTTGGTTTAGTTGAATTTTGGTTGTTTTTGTTGTTATTTGTATTTTCTTGATCGATGATATTAGTACTTGTGCTTGATGTACTTCCTGCTTCAGATAGATGTAATTTTTCTAACTGAACAGTTAAGTCCTTGTTTTTGGTCGTTTTGCGAACGAATGAGTGGGTAGCAGAGAGGTGTTCAGTCTCTGTCTACTCAATGTATCGTAATTGAAGGTATTCCACTTTTTAGCCGCTACCAATTGTTGCGGGGATAATAACTTTGATAGTAAATGTAACTGGATTCTTGAATTAAAATTGAAATGATCTTATAACTGTAACAAAAGATGCAAAAGTTTTAATATAAGGAGCAGATGCGTTTTATTATTTAATTTTACCTGTAACAAAAGATGCAAAAGTTTTAATATAAGGAGCAGATAAAAAGGCTCCTTATTGCATCTCTCGTTACGGCTTTTATACAAAATCAATGGTGTAACACCCAAAAAAAAAAGCTAAACCCTGATCCCCATGACAGTAGTGAGTAGGACGAATGGAACAGTCAGGATCAATTTAAT